AGCATCATAGGAGCAGAGAGGCCTCTCTGCTCCTATGATGCTGCTTGGCCTGCTGTGTTCATCCAGCCCTGCACCTTGTTGTCTCGGATTCTCCAGCATCTGCAGTTCCTACTATCTCTGACTCTTTAGGAACCTGCGCCCTTCCCCCTCAACTTCCCATCATAGCTGAATTATCTTATGGCAAAAGAATGCAGGAATGCACTGTCTGAGAAGAGCAGGGAGTAGCAGAACAAACAGATGCTTTTAAAAGGGAACTGAATACCTAAAGTACATTGAGAAGGACATAACTGCAGCACTATGGGCGACTTGGACTAAATAGGCAGCTCTTTCAAAGTGCTGCAGAAGACATAACGGGCTGTGTGGCCTCTTGCTGTTCTGCATTGTTCTATGATTCAATATAGCCATGGCTTTCTTGAACCCTTGCACCTCTTGTGAAGCACCATAGGCTATTTCTCCATGCATATTTATGTCCCATTTTTAATCAATGTTATTATGTATATTAATGTGACTGAATTCTAGTGTTGCAGTTTGAGCAAGAAAACTGAAACCCTCTTTTGGGATGCTAAACACAAATCTCTATTAGTGTCCCTTGTTATTTACTGCTTTTCATTTTCAGATGACATTTTTTGGCATATTAACTAGTAACAGTCCAAAAAAAAATAAATCACCCAGAGCTCTGACCATAGGTATTTCTTGAAATAGAAGAGTGATTATGGCTGATAAAGCTGTGGAAAAGAACAGGGAGCTACTAATCTGGTTTTTGTGGTGCAGTGGTAGCATCCCTACCACCAGGTCAGGTGGTCTAGAACTCTACCTCAGGACGTCATTGTAATAAAACGCCCAACCAAACTGAGTAATCTTTAATAAAGGCAATAATGAAACTCATTCCCAAAGAGATTAGGGAGAGGATGGGACAATGCTATGGGAGTCAGGGATATCTTGGACTCAAGAATTGCAGCAAAGTTCAGTATTCTATTAGGAATGCTCCTTAACATTTGAACAACCTCAGTTTGATGTCATTTTGCAGACTTTTCAAAAATGTTTCAGTGATACATTACTTCTGATGTTAACAAAAAAAATCAATTGAATATGCCATAGGTTTTGGCCTTTTGTAAAGTGGTGCTTTGAGTGAACATCTGGCACTGTAACCAGTTATGACCCAGGTATGAACTTCTCAATAGTCTCTTTATGTGGGGACGAGTAAGGAAAAGGAACCATTGAGAGGAATGTTGATAGTAATGCCATTGAATTATCAAGGAGAACTAGTTTAGACTCTAGTTTGTTGGAGTTGGTCGTTGCCTAGTTACATGATTTGCATGTTATTTGTCACTTATCAGCCCAAGCTTGAATGTTATCTAGGTCTTTCTGCTTCATCACCCTTGCAGCAGAGGATGGAACTAAACATAGTGAAATAATCACAGAAGAAGTCTACTTTTCTTCTTTTGATGGAGGAAAAGTCATTGATGAAGCAGCTGAAGATGGTTGGTCTTAGAATACTGTAGACATGTCCTGGGACTGAAATGGCTGATCTCCAACAACCACAATCATCTTCCTTTATGCTAGATATGCCTCCAACCAGTGGAGAATTTCCTCCTGATTCCTACTGACATCAATTTTGCCTTGATACCATACTTCGTAAATTTCTGCTGTGAGCTTGTGGACAACCACTCAGACCTCACTCCACATTCAGTTCTTTTGGCCATATCTGAACCTAGACTTCACTGAAGTGTGGAATCAGGTGGTCCTGGCAGAATCCAACTGAGTGTAGGTAAACAGGTATTGCCGAGTAAGTGCTGTTTGATAACATTGTCAGTTATATTTTCCATCACTTTACTGATGATCGAGGCAAGGGATACCTTGAGGACAAGGCATACAGTAATCTTCCACATCGTTGGGTAGATGACAGTGTTATAGCTGTACTGCAACAGCTTGTTTGGAGGTACAACTAGATTTGGAGAATAAATCTTCTGCATTATAGTCGGAATGCTATCAGGACCGATATTCTTCATCTTAAAAAGTCCAATGTTGCAGCTTTACCAGGTTGGCATCTCATTTTCAGGTATGCTTGATACTGCTCCTGGCATTCTCCAATACTCTGCATTTATTTTGATCCCCTGACATGATGTTAAATGGAGGAATGAGAGGTACGCTGGGTTATTCAAATACAGATTGTGGTTGAATACAATTCTGGTGCTGTTGGTGCCACCTGGATGCCCAGTTTTGGGCTGCTGGATTTGTTCAGAACCTCTCATTTAGCATACTGGTGAAGAGAATGCCTTTGTTTCAACAAGCACTGAGCAGCGGTCACACCCACAAATAACATCATGGATAAATGGATCTGATTGGTAAGGATGAGGTCTTTTTCTTTTTGTTCATTGATTGTGGGCAATACAGAGTAGAGCAGCCTTTATTGCTCATCCCCAGTTGCGCTTGAGAAGGTGGTGGTGAGCTGCCTTTTTAAAGTGCTGCAGTCTGGTATTGGTACAAATACAGAGCTGTCAGGAAAGGAGTTCCAGCATTCTGACCTTGTGATATTAATATAGTTTCATGCCAAGACAGTGCTTGGCTTGGAGATGAACTTGTAGGGGCTGTCGAACGATAGTTGGTGAGTTGCTGCAATGCATTACGTAAATGGTACAAAAGCATTCTTTTCCTTCATGTCTTTTCTCTCACAACCTGCTGCAAACCTGTGTTCAACAGGAATCAACCAACTCAGTCAACAGCAGTGTGGGTATGGAGTCATTCTGAGGGGCTGACATTGTGTGTTTGTGTTATTCTCAATGTTTCTTCCAAGTTTTGTACAACATCTGATAAAACATGTATTAGCTGAATAAGGCAGTTGATTGTGGTCAGTAGGAGATTTCTATGTCTATGATTCCAGTTATCATGTAAAACAATGTTGAGAATTCCCTGGGCTGTTCTATCCTGATTGTATACCACAATGCCTTTCCCACCAGTGAGACAGTATGTACCCAAGAACGATTATAGAGACATCTAGGAGTTTGAATGACAGGTATGATTTTGGAATATGACTACATAAAGCTGTTGTTTGGCTACTCTGTGTGACAGCTCTCCTAATGTCAGCACAACTACCCAGATGTTATCATAAACCTTCCAGGCTCAATTGGGCTGGGTATGCCTTTGTTATTTATTGTTCCTCAATTAATGTTCAATGCATTTCCTTCATATCAATGGCTGGCTTTCTGGGCCATTTCAGAGGGCAGTTGCTGTGGGCCTGGAGTCATAAAGAAGTCAGAGGAGCAGACTGGATTCATGGTTACCATTACTAGTGCCTCACTTTTCAAAACATATTTAGATGATTGTCTTTTAAAACCCTCCAGCTGTCTTCTTGGGATTGGTTTACAGATCACTGATGGAAACCTCTGGATTACTGGTCCAGTAATGTAAACACTGGACTGCCACGTCAGATCAAACCCAGAATTCCAGTTATCAACCAATCCAGAATTCCCACAATCTGACTCAGAATCCCATTAGCTAACCTAACTTCTAATCACACGAACCAGAATTCCACCTATTAAACACAGAATTTTAAGTTTTGGCCTTAATCTTGGCTTTCTCTAGTTCCTGTTTTTGTACATTTCGTTATTTTATTCACACCTCCTCTGGATCTACGTTTTGTTTCTTTGACTTCTTTTGTTTTTGGTCCCTATGGTTCTGCCCAACCAAAAAAAAAATGCTCTTGGTGTATTGTTTAAAGTCCATGGAGCTGTGCCACAGCATATATTCTCATATTAAAACCTTTGATGAGCTTTAGACTAAGTGCAGACTCTGCTTTCAAAATCCATTTTTAAGAAGAGTCATAGGGCTCAAACTGTTAACTGTTTCTCTCTCCACTGATACTGCTGGACCTGCTGAGTTTCTCTAACATTTTCAGTTTTTATTTCTGATTTCCAGTATTTGTAGCATTTTGCTTTTATCTTAGTGGCTGGCTCATGTCAGACTTGCCGAAAGACTGGATTGTACTTTTGGAAATAAAATCACCAATATGCAAAGGCAGTGCAGTTAACAAGCCTCCCAAAAGTTACACACAGCTCACCTAAGACAAAATTAAATTATTCAAAAGGCATCTAAATATATCCTTAGTGGAGGTAACATTTTTTCACACGTACAGTGGTATTAAAATCATTATTAGTTTAAGAATTTCTTTACTATGAAGGAATGGGATTTGAAAATCAATTTATCAGAGCCCGATTAGCAGATTAACAAAATCATAAATTACATGTTAGCTTTTAATAGTTTTATTAACTAACCAGAATCATCAAATGATCAGAAACAGATAAATATAGAGAGATCAAGATGATCTGCAGCCTACATCACATCAGTGCCAGTCTTCTCCACAACATTTGTTACCAAGGTAACCTACCACCTCTTCAAATTCCTCACCCCCACCTTTCAGAACTACCAATCTGTGTCTTGAAAGGGGAGTCAATGTTTTGTGAAAACTCATTACAAATTCACAAAAGTAACAGGCACATTAGAATTGTTCACCCAGTTAATTACATCCAATCAAAAATATTGACTTCAGTAAGCAACTAAGGAATGAATTCTGTGGAGAACACCGAAACATTACATATATTATATCACTGCAAGAGAGAGAAGAGCATTAAATGCTAATTCTTCACATTGAAAAAAAAACAGATTAAGTTTCCCATTGCTTAAACTTCCAAGCAAGAAAATGGTTAGTTGCGAGCCTGTGCTAACCTTCTGAGAAAGTCAGGTACCCCAAATCTGCAAGAGGTGAACTGAATAGAATGTTGGTTAGTAGACATGTTAGATTAGACAGGAAAGGTCTGCTCATTGGGAATGACAGGCAATTCTGGTGATTTACCAAGTTGACTGGGACGGATCTCTATCTGACTGGGAAAGACAAACTCAACATACTTCCAGCAATGGGAATAGCAACTAAAACAATACTGGAAGCATCTGCAGGTTAGAACTCCTGCTTACAGCATTTGCAATCTTAATTCCAGTGCACAGTTCAAATAGAAGTATGGCTGATTACTGTACACCAGTTCCAGAATGTGGGCAACAAAGCATACACACAAATGGTGTGATTGAGCAGGGTTTGCAGCATTCACTGCTACTTTAACTGTCCTATCATCAGTAGGGCAACACTAGCACTACAATATGGTCTTAAGAAAGAGAGAAAACACTCTCTTGCTTGAACCAACAAGATATGCCATGGTCATGGGGTTATCTGCAGTATTATCTTCTTCAGCTATGTTTTCAAAAGTGAGGGTTCTCAGGAATTTGATGACGCGTTCACCAGTGAGCAGCCCTTCTTCAACTTGTAATCCCAAAGTACAAGATCACAATCTGTTAGTTGGTTGTGTAGTCTGCTGTAGGCTGCTGTTAGCATAGAAGCAAGGATTCCTTGTTATACAATGCCAAATTTGCATCAAACTCAGATGATGTCCGTAGGAGATACTATTCACAAACTGCCTTTTAGTTTTGATAAATGCATGATGAGTTACATTCCAAGAATATGGACCAACCAAATAAATATTCCAGTGTAATAGGTTATTACTCTAGTCTGCCTGTGTTAGCAGATGCTTAGTCAGGTTGGGCCAAATAACCAGTTGATTTTCACAATTCGATCATTAGCAAATCACTGATTACAATTTATTTTCAAATTAAGGTAATGAGAATTCTTTTTAAGGTCAAGAGGATAGGAGGCAAGGATGTCTGTTCAACACTTACAGCCAATGGACAAAGTAGATTGTCATTGGGCTGCATTTAGTTCCTAGAAATAAAGTTTAGTGTGTTTATTGCTTCCTCTTCCCTCAATGTAATGTAATTCTCAACTGACAATTTTAATATGTTTTTGAGGCTAATGTAGTAGTCACTACATGCACACAATGCTTTACAATATTTGTTAACTGTTATCCTGACAATACATTTGATTGTAGAAATGGGGAACACTATGTTAAACTGTGGATAAAAATGGACAGAAACAGCATTGGAAGATAGCATGGAGCCTTGAATTCTAACACAGTGACATCAGCTGAATTGTGAGTGCACTCTAAACAATTTGCACAATAGGTTAGATAAACAAGCTCCATCACCAGAGGCACTTGTGTTGAGCTACTACCTATTTGATTTAGTAAGTAGACAGGGAGAGAGAGAGAGACAAACAGATAGAGAGAGAGAGAGAGAAACAGAGAGAGAGAGAGAGAGAGAGAGAGAGAGAAATGTTGGCCGTACAGAGATGGGACGCTCTTCCTTTACAGCCTCACAAAACGGTTTCAAGGTGGGACAGCATCAATCCAATGCAGAGTGGTGGTTACCCCCAGTAACCACCATCGACTTCAGCACTCTTCAGCAAACCTTAAAATGGGAAGGAAAAATGAGAGACACAAGACAAACTGAGACAAAGTTATGCAATTTCGAGAAGGCACTTCTGTGGCATTTCAGCAACTTGTGTTTAATTACCAGCTTGAACAACATACAGATGAAGGATATCAATGTCAGATAGGTTTTATCTTCTTCTTGCTTCAAATCTTCGACAATAGAACATACTCAAATTAACGGTAGCTCAAAAGATACAAATAGAGCATAACACAAATATATCTACCAGAATCTGGTCCAGCTGGCATAAACATTTATTGCATCTCCATTTCATTAATTGACACATCAGTGACCTTGTGCATTCACCAATGACCCTCAGCCCAAAACGAGTAAAGATGTCTTCTTGCAGTTGTATAGAGCCTTGGTGAGACCAGACCTCAAACATTGTGCCCAGATTCAGTTTCTTTACTTAAGGAGGGATATACCTGCCAGATAGGGGAGCAATAGCGGTTCACCAGATTGATTTCTGGGAATGGCTGGATTGTTTTACGAGGAGCAATTGAGGAAATTGGGCCTGTATTCTCCAAACATTTGAAGAATTAGAGGCGATCTTATTGCAACTTATAAAAATTTTACAGGCTATGATAAGGTGGATACAGATAGAACGTTTCCCCTGGTTGATGAATCAAAACCAGGAGACATGGTCTTAAGGTGAAGGGTAGGCCAATTAAGACTGAGATGAGGAAGGATTTCTTCACATACAGGGTGAATTTTTGGAATTTTCTATTTCAGAGGACAGTGGAATTGAGGACACCAAGGCTGAAATCAATAGATTTCCAGATATCAAGGACATCATAGAGACAGCACGGGAAAGAGGTAGATGAACAATCATGATCTAATTGAATGGTGGAGCTGGCTCAATGGGCTGATCTAAACCTCCATACGCCTAAAGTGGCCTTTAGTTGTTCCATTCACTATGGTTGTTCACTTGTTCAGTTAGGGGTCCATTGATCAGTTTCAACTTAGGTTAAATCACAGTCTTTAGTTTCTGCACCAAAGCTCTTGCTTGTATATTATATCTTGTATATTCTCGTACATAACTTATCTTGTATATTATATGAATAAAACCTATTTTTATTAAACTGCAGACAATTGACTTGTTATTTCTTTTTTGAATTCAATTTCCTAACTTGTTTCAAACCATTGCATTCTGAATGAACTTAATGTGGGTGGGTTGGCGAAGTAAGTGAGCAATGAACACTGGAGAATGGGTGCAACAAGCAAGAGCTCACAGGTACGAGAAGGTCACCTGAGAATGTGTTAGGCATTGAGTTGACTCATCTGTTTTGCAAAGTTTTACAGCACATGCTTTTAACTGTCTCAAACCCTTATTTCACCTGGAAACAAAAACTGAAATTGCTGGAGAAACTCAGCAGGACTCTGCTTTCTCTTCATATATGCTGCTGTTTCTCCAACAATTTCTGTTTTAGTTTCAGATTTCCAGAATCAGCAGTTCTTTGGGATTCGCGCCCCCTCCGTACCGCCGACCCCCACCACCCGTCCCCAACTCCCCCTCTAAATTCTGTCCTAACTGATGACCATTCCATTTAGGAACAAAAACAGAAGTTGCTGGAAAAGCTCAATAGGTCTGACAGCATTTGTGAAGAAACTCAGAATTAACATTTTAGGTCCGGTAAACCTTCCCCAGAACCAGACCCGAAACGTTAGCTCTGATTTTCTTCACAAATGCTGTCTGGCCTGTTGAGCTTTTCCGGCAACTTCCGTTTTTGTTCCTGATTTACAGTTCTTTTGGTTTTTAACCATTCCATTTAGGTTTAATACAACTTTAATACAAACAAGATATTAGCTGAGAGAACAGGTTTCTTGATTCAAGGTAAAATTTTAGTTGGAGATAGATTGGTGAAGTTTCCTCCTAGTCAGAATTGGTATGGTTTGACTTTTCGGCATTATTCTGCAAATATTCTAATAATACATCTAATCTATCAGCCTCATATGTGCACACATTGGGGTGGGTATGTGTCTGTCAGCCTCATATGTGCACACATTGGGGTGTGTATGTGTCT